TAAACTCCAACACTGCTATATATTAATCAAATTTTGCTTGTGTAAGTTTATCTTGCGTTGTAGGTCTGAAGCCCTAACAAAGGAGGGAGAGTGCGTCAGGTAGTTGACAAACGACACTCAATTATGTTGAAATCTCACATCAGTCGTTTCTCTGAGAAAATAAGAGTTTAAATATCCTCCCCCACTCCAACCAATACCAAAGTCTTTTGTGATAATATCTTACACCTCTCGAACTGTGCAGGTGGTAATTAATAAGTTGAAGACAATACCTCTGATTTGTCTCTCTGTTAATTAACAAAATGAAGACAAACTTTCAGTCGTGTTACATTTTAAGTCTATATTTGCGTCCAGGTTTCTCTCCTAATTCATCACCATGCCTCTTGATATAGTTAATAAAAGATGAAAAGTATATTTGACTAATTAGGACATGATGGCATGGTGTTAGGAAACATGAGTGGTAGTAATACTAACTAATAATTAGTTATAATGAAGGAATTAACTTGAAGAGAACAAGTGTTTGCAAGCATCTTATAATTATTGGGTCCTCTTTCGGGTGGGCGTCACATGACAATTCATAATCATATAATTAATAAATAACTTAACATATCTAATTCTTGCTTGACACGGCATTTGGCTTATTACTGAACAACATGTTCCCAAAAAATGTATCAAATCCAATATATTTGGCAAATCACAAGTTAAAAGAAATATTAAATTAATTAAGACAGGTTCGAGGTATATATCCAGAAAATGTTTTTTTGTAAATAATTTAGAGGAATAGAAGCATCGGTGCCATATGTTGAGAGTAGGGTGGCTATATATGACAATAAGGAATATTGAAATGTGGATTTTTTCAGTGTATCAGAACCACGATTATGTATATTATTATATTAGTTAAATTGTTTTCTGTTAATATGTTCTAAAGATGAGACATTCTAACTTATAATCGACTTATTACAACACTTAAATTGATACATCACGTGACTTGTGTTTTGGTTAGACCCTGCAAATGAATCATGTTTGTCGTGTTGGTGTTGTTTTCATGCTATACTCGTTGTTTTAACGGGTTTTAAATCATGTCAAACCCGTTATCTTAAGTTCTTAACAGGTGGTGCAAAAAATTTCTTAAGCCTAGTTTTAGGACTTACAAAAGTTTCGCGACTTGAAACATGCATGGTACGACCTATTAATTTTTATTTTTGTTTTTGTAAGACTTGTGAATTCAGAGCCATGTTCTCCAAATTTTAATATATGCCAACTTGTTGAATCGTTGATTAATTAACATCAAGATTCTCCATGAACAGGTGACGAGTAAGAATCCACGACAACATATTACACATTTTATTTGATTTTTAAAGAACACAATCTTTAATTATTTGTGATTACTGTGAAATGAAACATTTACAGATGGATGATTCCAGATGAAATCCCATCCATTGCACAATTGTAGTGATTATAAACGTAGAGTAATAATTTTCTGAAAATATATAGAAAGTATAAGCAGAAAACTTTGGAAAATTAGTGTGTAAGATGAAGAAGAGAGAGGACTTATCTACATAGAACGCTATCATGGTTTACAAAAACAATAAAGTTTTATTTCACTAAGTGGTCAGCTGTATGAATCCTATAACGTTATCACAATTTACAAAAATAATAATACACTAATAATAGATTTGTGAAAGTAAAACACATTGTTCAATATTTTTTTTTTTGAACAAACGATATTATCTGCACTAAGCGTGTGGAGTGGGCTAAACCTCACAATGTGCTATCAATATTGTGGTTCAAATTTGTATTTGGTGAGAATCGAACCTTAAACCTCTCATTTACCAATAAAAAAGAATATCACTAGATCGTGGTACAAAGTGACACCTTGTTCAATATTTTTAGCGCTGAGCTTTATGACGGTGTCATGAAAAATGTATGTAACCCATATCTCGACATATGTTGAGGAGCAGGCCCTTTAAAGAAAATGATTCTCATATTGTTTTTTTTTTTTTGAAAATCTGAATTAGTTGTGGGACGCATTCTACGTTGAACTTTAACAATCCGAACTGTTTATTTTGTAAGTCTCAATTCATAGATCACCATTGGAAAAATTTAATTCAATTCGAAACCATTTGCCTTTTTAATTATTACAATGTAATTTCATTGTTTCATATAAAACAAAATGTTCGTCAGTTTTTTACAACTCAATTAAATGTCTCAAATATTTATGATTTGACTAATATTTTGCAATAATGATTTAAAAGGTGCAACTTGAAAAATAGACGGTTTGGATCATTAGAGTTTGATGTAGTGTGGGCTCACAACTAATCCTCATTTAAGAAAAATGAAGATCCCTTCTATTAAAAGCTTTGACATATATGATAAGTATAAACAACTATCGTGGCGTTACGTTCATAACGTAAGCATTTTGTTTGGCAAAATATTGTATAATTGACATCAAATGTTATATTAATGGTATACTCATATATAATGTAAATCATGTAAGTTACTCCGAAAACAAAAAAAACATGGATGGGGTACATCGGCAAGTGGCATGCGACGGCCCACAGATAGAAGTCCCGCGTTTCCCGGCACAGGAAAGCCAAATCAATGACTGAAACTCACGAGGACGGAGTGGACCGGCACGTGACATTTCCTCCGTTACCATCAACATCCTCTCTCCGTCTCTCTCAAAAACTCGTGAGCTCTGACTGAGTAGCAGTAATAACAATATCATTAGATAAATAATCGGGATTTGTGCCACTAATCATCACTCAAGTGTGCATTAAATCTCGGGATAACGGAGGTCAACATTCTACTGTTCCCTCGTCGACGCTCGGCTTACCCCCTATCACGTGACTCTGCTTTTTCTGATTCGGCCATTTTTTGCTTCTGTTCTGTCCTGCATAACTTGCATGCCTTCCGTTCAAAAGAAATTTTTCATTATAATCAGAACACAAGTGGTATATCATTTATTTTTATATAAATTGTAGAAAATTTTAATATTTAAGTTATTAATTTTTTAACACAGATATTCTATCATTTATATAGTAACATATAACGTACTATTCTATTTTCCGATCATATTAAAAAATCTCTCTCTGATAAGCGTGTGCTGCCACAAGTTATGGTTGCTGAAGAGCTCCAAACTCCCAAAAAACGCAGGGAGAGAGAGTGTCCTGTCCTTTCTCTCTGGTCTTTGCCCCCCCCCCCCCCCACCCCACCCCCACCCACCCCTGGTGCACGTGCGATTTATTAAACCCTAACCCTATCTCCACAGTCACCCACTGTTTCATACTGTGAAAATATTATTTCAGAATAATTAAGAACATTTGACGATGTACGGTGTACTTATCTAATGAATTGTGATGTATATTTGAGTATATATAATTATGTTTTCTGAAAAATGTAAGATATTTTTTATCGATTAAGAATAAATTTGCGGTACAATGTTGCATGACTACAAGTATAAGAGGAGAATTATATTTCCATCAATGCCAATTACGGTTCTTAACCTATTTGAACCGCCATTCTTGCATCGACACCTTGAATGCAGGCGCAATATAACTCAAGCTTGTTTGTTAGAAAATGCAACAGTAAACTCCCTTAATGTTATTCTTCACAACCACCTCTCAATAGTTTCACGCCCGTTCGCTTTTTTAGGCAAGCGGAAACATGCATGTTAGTAAAAGGTGTTGAATTCACAACATTTGTTGTTTGTACAATACTAGGATTAGTATACTTCTGAAACTAGTCACTCAATTATCCTTTGTTAAAATAGATTATGAATTTGAATCCAGACAATTATTCTCAGATACGTACAACAACCAGCTACCTAAATCCAAAAAATTATATTTCATGAAGAAAATTTCAAGAAATAATTTGAGCTTACTTTATTTTTACTGTCATGAACAACTTGCCAAACTATCGGTCTTAGGCATTCTCCAACCCTAGGCTAAAACTCAAATTTCCACTTCTATTCCCCTCTAAAACTCAACCCAACCCAAGGCTAAAATGTGGACTAAAACCTAAAACTCAAATGGAAGCCAAAATTAGGCCAGGATTAGTGGGGTTGGCCCACCTTATATGTATATTTTATTTAGTTTTATATTTATAAATTCATTGAATCCAACGGTTAAGATATAATTTGATGAAATTCAACGGTAAAAAAAAAAAAAAAATTAACGGTCCAATTTAAATCTAACGGTTAAAATAATTAAAAAAAATGTTTCATTTGTTTCATATTTGTTCATAGTGTTTAACGAGCTTCATAATGTCGGTTAGTGCTTTTTCAGTATTTATCAAAATCTAAATATTTTAAGGTTAAAATGTTCATAAAATTAAATTAGGATAGTCTACATAATTTTTTATTTTTAAAAAGTTACTTTAAGAAAAAAAATTAGTCTAAATTCATTCTTTAATAATTTGGGGTTAAAATTTTAGGCCAGAATAGTTGAAGCAGAAAAGTTGTTTTTGTGTTAAAACCTAAATTTTCTGGACTAAAAATTTTATATTTTAGGTCAAGGGTTGGAGATGGTTAAAGGAATATAAAGTGATTCGTAAATTTCTTTTCTATTTAGAACAAAAATACCCTTTATTTTCATAACTAAAAAAGAAAAATGCTCTTTTCTGAAAAGAAAATTAAAGTTATGATTATTTTCGTATGTGGACAAACGGACAGAACACTACTCGGGATTGCCAAATCATAAAAAGATTAAATAAAAGTCGGGATTGCCGAAAATATAAAAAACTCCAACCCAAAAAGTAAATAATCCAAGTTCAATGAACCCATAAATTAAAAATTAAAAATTAAAAAACAACGCTTACCCCGTTAGACTAAACGGCGACAAGTGGCCATCAAACAATACCCCTATCAACCTCCGTTTCAACCACTTAACGACGTCAACCCCGCCGTAACGTCGTTATTCCAGCGGCGGGTTTCACCTAACGGAAAACAACAAAAACAAATATTAAAAATACAGTAAGCAATGAATGGCAGACTGTATAAAAGATCTCCAGCCAAAGAGGTCACAAGCTCACCGAGAGAGAGAAGTGGAGTTTTAGAGAGAGAAAGAGAGGAGAGAGAGAGAGAGAGAGTACCGACTATCGGCGCACTGTTCGTCATCTGAAATTTGAAGAAGGAGAAGGAGCTGATAAGAATTTCCGAAAAGGTGAGATTTTCATGCTCGAAATTTCGGAGCCGATTTTTCTCGGTTCATGCATTTCTGTTCGATCTTTTTCAAGCTCTGAATTCAAAGCACTTTTCGTCAGTGAGATTCGACTCTGGAGCTGAATCGTTACGTAAGCTGCTGTAACAATTCGAAATTTTCAAATCGCAGAGACTGAAGGTTCGAATTTTTTCTTCCCTTGGTTGATTTGAATTTTTCGTAATTTTATTCGGATCGTTATCGGTTTGTAATTCTCAAGCTCCTGATTTTTTAATAAAATTATTTTTCGTCAGTGAAAGATGATATTCCAAACTACTCTGATGAAAGCGAACACGATTCGAACGATTTCTTCTATAAATTGTTGAAAGCTTCAAATCGTCTTGATATGTATGGGGAATTTTCATTTTATGGTTTTTTTTTGCTTTCCGATTATAAATCAAGAAAGAACTGACGATTTCGTGCCGAAAATTGAAACTTTGCAGGCGAAGCAAAGCAATTGATATCGAAAAGCATTCGGAGAATTCGAATCAAAGCTTGGATTTTTCTTTCCTTCTCCTCTTCTGAAAGCGAAAGCGAATGTGGCCTTCGAACTTCGAAGGTGTTCGAAGGCTCCCCGCGAATCTGTGAAGCTGAAGCAGCTGAGAGAATTTTTTAAAAAAGAACAGAACTTTCAACCTCTCCGTGTCATTAATCCGGGAATTCACTGAACTCCGGTGAATTTGGAGTGTTTGGATACTGAATTTTCCGTTAAAATTACAAATTTTCCTGGAAAATAATATCTCAGCCCGGCGGCCTGTACAGATATGGAGCTTCCGCAGTCTCGGCCGTTCGGTACCGAAGGTATTTCATTTTTCGAAAACAAATATTTGTTTTCGTTTTTAATTTTTTGTTTTTTGGAAAGAAATTTTAGGAAATGGGAAGGGAATTAAAAGTGTTTTAATTCTTAACCTTGAATTCAAAGTTTTTGTACAGGAAGAAAACCGACGCATGACTTTCTGTCACTCCACGCTCATTCAGTTGCCCAGCAAGATCCAAGACCACCTGCTCAAGGTACCCTTCCTTTTTCTTCATATTAATATTAATTTTTTAAATATTTAAACAACTATAATTCTTTGTATACACCGCGAGATTTAGGTACAACAAGATGCCATCGTAGCGTATCTTAAGCTAGTTATTATTGCATATTTGAGCTCTTTTACTTGACAAGTTGTGATAAGATTCGAAATACCATCACATTAGCAGGGTTGTAACATAAAATTCTTTAATTCTCTTCAAGATGGTTTTTCTATTTTGCTTCGATGCGGCGAATTAAGAAGCGCGTAGCTAATTATTTATTGTCTCGTAGCTTTAACCTTCTCACATAACTATTAACAATTGATTTTTTTTTTTTTTAACTATTAGATGCTTTATTAAATATACTATAAGATAGTATAACAGATAACCAAATACAAACAATTTAACACCCAACGTGAATATTGAGAACAAAAATTGCATCTTACAGAACTTTTGGAAAAAAAAAAGAGTTCAGGCATGACACAAACTAAAGACTAGAAGAAACACTTAACCTTTCATAACACAAATTTCTTTCTCCTCTTCAATAGATAGTACAATTCATTAAAAACTTAAAAAGATATTTTTAACTAATTATATAATGACACATAGTGTAGCGCAACGTATTCCTGACCTATTGAAATATTTATTTATCCCTACACAAGATCATTTTTCTATTTTTTTTTTCGATTATTTGCATGTGTAAATTAATACACGAGAGAAAATACGTATTTTGTTTGTTTAATTAGACAAATATAAAAGGGTCACGATTATGCATGCACGTGACCGCAACTGAACTGTGGATCTGGTTGTTAACAATCTGGGCCATGCATGTGGTGGGCCAGCCTTGAAACAGTTAAAATTGGCTGCGAATGCGAAAAAGGCAAGGGCTACCCTTTACCAATCGGCACCTTTAGATTGGCGCGAGATGGAGATGTTGTCGGGTCCTTGATGGGACCCACCCATGGAAGTTAGCAATGATTTGACATTTGACATGTCGCATACCACGCCTGATGCAGGTGCATGGTATGAAACGTGGGCTGTGAAGTTGACGACTCATTATTTTTTGTTTAATTTTTATATTAAAACTTTTGTGCGTAAAGTTTTTAAACATGTTTTCTTCAAATCTTGGATCTGAGAAATGAATCTGAAAAACTGGATCATGAGAACTGAATCCAGAATGTTTCAGTTTTGATATTTTGAGTTATATTCTATTATAATATAAACTAATACGGGAATGAAGATTCGAATTTGAATGTAGATGGAGTGTGTAAGCTAATCTAGGCAATATGGCTGTGTTGAAGTCTGACAATATATATCTTCACCATCGGGTGGTCCGGTGGTTAATTGAGACGAATTTCAGGATCATATTTCACATTGTTCATCATGGTTTGATTAGTGGTGTTGGTGAATCACACAAAGATGGTTATGAGAGGCTGAAATATCTTTTTGAGTCTTTCCAGCTCTCGAAAGAGTAGACTGTCATGACAAAACAACCAACTACCTATGTCCAAATATGATATATAATCATTCAATGACGAAGTTTCCAAAGTCAAATAATTTCCTATTAGGAGAAAATTTGAGAAAAATATATGGTAGTAGAGCAAGATTTGCAAATGCTTATCTGGATTAGGGCTACACTATTTTCAACACCTTACCTTTGGTTTTATGTAATTTCAGGACGGTACCTTGAAACACATGATTTCTTACGACCACTTGAACGAATGGGAAAGCCATGCATTGCTAAGGAAGAAACCTCAGTTGAGATATCAACCGCTGAAAAACAACCGTCTCATGCGGCCGCGCAGCCGACTACTTCTGTGGAGCATATTCTCCCCGGTGGGATTGGGACTTACAGTATAAGTCACATTTCGTATATTAATCAAAGGGTTCCGAAACCAGAGGGATCGCCGGTGTTTACAGTCGCTCAAACAAGTAGTAACGAGAGAAACGTTGACGAAAACTCAAACTGTAGTTCTCACACCGGAAGTGGATTCACTTTGTGGGAAGAATCTGCAAAGAATAAGGGAAAGAGAGGGAAGGAGAATGTTGTGGGAGAAAGACCCCTGGGTACCGTGAGAGGTAATTAAACTTGATCTGTATTTTTTGCTTGTGGTGCATAATTTGTGTTCCTTAAATTCCAATGTATGAGAAGAAACGAAAAATGGAAATGAAACTCATGGCATCTACTGGGGTTTTGACAGGGCAATGGACCTCTTCGGAGCGGCCTGCGCAGTCATCTTCCAACAATCATCGCAGCTGCTTCACTTCTCAGTCAGTCCCTGGCCATCTCGAACTCTAATATTATTTTTCTTTCGTCTCTCCGTGTGATTGATTTCGATATATATATGCAGTTTTTGACATATATAATTGGAATGCCAACAGGTCATCTGGGCAGAAGAACATGAGCTTCATGGAGATGATGAAGTATGCCGCCAAGGGTAGTACCCAGGAAGCCGAACTTGACGATGAAGAAGAGTTTGTTCTAAAAAAAGAGACCTCTACTACTACCACCAATGCCACCACCACATATAAGAGTACGTCTCCTCGTTAGATAAAATTTCACTTGAAATTCTTTACCCTATTCTTATCCTTTATTTATTTTTTTTCATCTTCACTGAAGAGTTTGTGTGTTTCTGAAGGTGATTTGAGGGTAAACGTTGATATTAAGAGCTCTGATCAGAAGGCTAACACGCCGCGATCCAAACATTCTGCCACCGAGCAGCGAAGAAGAAGCAAAATAAATGACAGGCAAGTTTCTCTTCAATATAATACAAAATTCATGTTTTGGAAATAAGAAATGCTACAAGAACCAGGATGAATCCCAAAATTTAGCCAGTTTCGTATGTATCCGAAGCAATAGCTTTTTACATGATAAAAATCATACGATCAGCTCCTTGGCGGGTTTTCTAACATTATTGTAGATTGACCCTTGAAAGTTATTTGCAGATTCCAAATGTTGAGAGAGCTCATTCCTCACAGTGATCAAAAGAGAGATAAGGCATCGTTTTTATTAGAGGTACGCCGCACGTAAATTATTAATTGTCGTAATTTATCTCCTCCTTTACCTTTCACTTCAGATTTTTGAATGACCGGGTTTTTATGTTTTCGCTTCCCAGGTTATCGAATACATTCAGTTTTTACAGGAACGAGTAAACAAGTACGAGGGTCCATACCAAGGATGGAACCATGATCCAGCAAAATTGATGCCTTGGGTAAGAAGTCAGGCCCTTATATCCTTTTGTGGCATTACCGTGAACTAGTAGTAGACTAATATCTTTGTTTTTCTTCTGGAAACAGTTCAACAATCACAAGCTTAGGGAGAGTTACTGTGATCAATCTCGAGGCATGAATGGTGTGTCTGGTCCTGCATTACCGTTTGCTGCAAAGTTCGATGAGAAACCTACTTCTGTCTGCCGACAATCCCTGGAAGCTGCGCACAGAACCCTGTAGAATCCGACACAAGTACTGAAACCACCTTCAAAGCCGTGGATAACCACCCTGGAATAACAAGCAAGTCAATGCCTTTCCTTTGTCAATGCAGCCGAACTTCTTCGCTCCTGTCAGGAGTAGTGCTGCTGCTGCTGCTGTACCTCCAATTCCACCTAGACTGCCATCTGATGCGGAGAACACATCTCAGCATCGATCTACGTTATGTCAGACGAGATCGTGCGCTACTGATGGTACTGCCACTATGGATAAGCTAAAAGAACAGGAGCTGACAATTGAAGGTGGCCGAATTAACATCTCAAGTGCCTACTCCCAAGGGTGAGTTTTCTTGTGCTCTAAGTTACATATTCAATCGGTCTTTCTATGTTTGTTTCGAGTTTATTCAGCTTATTTCAAAAATGTGCCAGCCGTAAACCCTGAAAGCTCTACTTAGAAGATGCATCTAGATTTATGAGTGAATAACATAAGCGGATTTCGGCATTGGACAGGTTATTGAATACGCTGACACAAGCCCTTCAAAGTTCCGGCGTGGATTTGTCACAGGCCAGTATTTCCGTGAAAATCGAGCTAGGGAAGCGAGCAAACAGAAGATCACCTATACCAAAATCCGCGATTAAGGTATATCATGTTCATCTAGCTGTCCCATAAAACGCATCGAATTTCAGTTTGTATAACAACCACAGCTAAATTTGTCTGCATTCTTCTGCAGGAAAATGAGATTCCGACAAGCACTTTAGGAAAAAAGCACTCTGTAATTGCAAGCAGTGAAGAATCTGAACAAGCCCAAAAGAAACTCAAGACATTCAGGAACTAATTAATATGACAAATTAAGCCTAATGTATTATTATTTTTTAAATATAATTAATTCATTTTTTTTTTTTTTGGAACCCCTTTGATGAAGTATGGGGTTGAACGTACAATGTACATGTAGTTTCTCATTACTTACAGTTTATTTAGTTAAGTTGGGATCCAAATTCCATAGATTTCCCAACCAAAATATTATTTATTGTTTTTGGTGTTTAGAGACGAGATTTGAGTGTAAACAGAACATCGCTTATTGTTAAGGCTTCCATTCTAATGCTGAGAAGCCGCTTTTGCATTTTTCAATTGAGGTTGCTTTTTCTTCTTGTAATTTTCCTTGACATTTGTAATTTTTATTTCTTGTTAACTTCTCTCGTGCTGGCTGAGTGGCAACCGGTTGTATTGGGCCGGTTAAAAAGCCACTCACTCCAGCACGGGTGCTCACCAGAATTTATTTATCTCATTATATAGCTGGTCATCTATTCCACCTCCCTCAAGCTCTATTGCCCTATTTTGCTCTTCATGTCGACACTTCCGCACAAGCTAAGCGTCATTAGAATCTGTATAAGACATTTTTACGGTCACCACTCAGGCCGGCACCTGGTACACGCCGTTAGGAATTTGCATACGAGATTACGTCGAATACAGAAGGGTAGTGATTTTCACCAATCCCTTTCTTTCCCTTGCACACCTCTATTTACATCTGGGCTTTGGATAGAATAAATCAGAGAATAATCAACGAACATACATAAGCAAACATGTGGACAAGGAAAAGGAGAGTGTCGGAAAATCATTTCACGTCGACAAATGTGAAACTTTGACTCTCTTTTGCTTCAACTTATTTGGGCCAACTCCACAAGAGGAATGCCAACGTGGCCTCTCTAACCGTCAACTGATTTGGGCCCAATCTTTGGTATGAATAACTATATTTATTATTTTAATTAACCTCATGATCCATGAGTTTATGTAATCAATTTTCATGAGAGTATTAGCATTATGTAATACAAAAATGTTACATGAACTTTCTCAAAAGTTGGACTCTTCATGAATTTTCCGTCACCTCATGTTTTTTGTACAATATTTTATAATGTTAATACAGGAATTAACATTAAAGCGTGAGTTCATGAAAAGTCCCACTTTTAGATCAACTCCACCTCTAAAAAACTGAGTTGGCCCAAAATCCATTTAATCCACCCAAATGAATAGTAATTGGCCAAATGTATCTCCAACCCTAAAAAATGAGTTGGCCTAAAGTTTGGTCAATTCGTGTTAAAATATTATTAATTTTTTTAATAAAATAATAGAAAAATAATTTTATTTTTAATTTCAGATAGGATTTTTAACTAATCTTGTTACGCCACATGTCATTATACGAAAGTAGTAATTCTACTCCAAAGTTCTCGCGGCTGCATCTCATTACCCGTAATTAGGTCATGAGTAATTTGAACCCAGCATTCACACAATGTAACATCTTCGATGACCGTCCAAGTAGCCATTTTTTGCACACAAAAATATATGAAAGCTTTGGTTCAAAGTGTTGAAAATATTGAAATGTGGTGTAAGGTGGAAGATGATGGTTAGGTATTTATAGAAAATAATAATAAATTTTGTTTTAATTTTTCTGTATTTTAAAACAATTTTTTAATAATTTTTATTAAGTTAATTTATCTGGACCATTGGATTTGAAAAAGATTGAAATCCATCAGCCCAAAATTGGACACGTGGCCAATAGTAAGAATTTTGACTTTTTTTTAATTTGAAGTTTTTTGGCCGAAAATCCTGGACCGTTGATCTAGGAATCCGACTGCCCAAATATTGCCACATGACTAGCCGTTGGGTTTGAAATTCAAAATTTTTTAACTGTTAGAAATCCAACGGTCGAAGATACGCCACGTGGCCTATGTCCCACATGTGACAGCCTGTCCCGGATTTTTCGTACCGTAAGGGTGAAATGACGGTTTTACCCCTAGTATGTTTGTTTTGTTGTGTGGTCATTTTTGGGATTTGTTTGGATGGTTTTGGACCACACACATACCCACACTCATTTCCCTCTCTCTCTGCCCTGTCCTGAGCCCTCTCTCTCTCCCTTTCCTATCCTTTTCGTACAGACACCACCCAAAACCCTTGAAAACTTCACAGATCGAGGAAACAAGTTACACAGTTGTGCTCGTGAGGTCCTTAGGAGTTCAACCATGCCTATCTCAGGTAAGGATACCTTCGTTTTCACGTCGAACTCGGGATCCCCCGATTTGGTCACTGTTCATGCACACGTTAATTCTTGTGTTTTTGGGAATTTCAAGCTTATAGGAAGCTTGGTGAGGTCCTTAGGAGGCTCGGGGTGGTTCGTTTGAAGGTTTTGGACGTCGAGATCGTGAGTTGCAGGTTTGGCCGGAGTTGGAGGTGTTTTCCTGACGAGATTCCGTTGGTTTTGGTGCTTGAAAGTGGTATGGATTTGTTCCTCTTGTTGTAAGCTTCATTTTGGTACCAATTTTGTGAAATTTGGTTGAAAAACGAGTGAGATATCAAGCTTTGAAATTTTCCCGGTTTTCCGACGCCAGAGTTTGGCCGGAGAAAACGACAGAATATTCCATCAGTTTGGATGGAATATTCCTAACGGCGTTAACGAAATCCGTCATAGTTAATGAAATATTCCTGACGGCGTTAACTGACGCCGTCAGTGTGCCAGGCACGTGCCTGCGCGTGGGCGGCGCGTGTGGCAATGCCTTGGCCGGCGCGTAGGGGCGCGTGGGGCGTCGGAAAATTATTCTAAAAGTATAGGAATGTTCGTGAGGTTGAGTAGATTACGTTGGTGTATTCATACACCCCATTTGAGCATTGTATGAGAAGTTATTTCATAATGTTGGTTATGTGCTTTAAAATTTACGTATTTATAATTGTTTCGCATATAGGTGAGACCTATCCCAAGGACGAAAGCGGTAACTCGAGGCAAGGGGGTTACGACCCTTCTACATACCAGTGAGTGGGCTTTTGGTTTTCCATATATACCTATATACTTATGTTTTTCCTAGAAAGTGAAATGAAACGTTTATACGTTTTTATGCCATGCATTATGTTTGCCGTTGATTATGCATTATTAGTTGCATATATATATATATATATGTATGTTGTTGCTGCGGACGCACAGGTAAGTGCCAGGTAAGTTATGGTTTATGTTTATGTTTAGTAGTGATTTGAGATGCATAGAGAGCTTATAACCTGCACCCTCGGTGTTAGTGCTCCCGCCCAAAGTTGGGCACAGTCCTTCACGTGATGTTCACCTCCAGCACCACACGCTCATCTTGGATCCAAGTTAGGTGCACAGTCCTGTCGTACAGACCACTTTAGGTGGTTCCAACTCGTAGATGACCCGCGATTATTTGCCCAGTCTTCACGTGATCGTAGCACTTGAGCGTACTTATTATACACCCAGTCCTGTCGTACAGACCACTTTAGGTGGTTCCGACTCGTGTGTAGGTACAGTTAGTGAGTTGGAGATTTGAGCTCTAGATTCAGCCGTACAGGTCACGTTAGGTGACTCCGGCTGACAGATTACATGGCATTGTTTGGCATTACCTGAGTACTTGCATTCTATTTCGAGGCATGTGGCATGGCATATTTCCGAGCATGATTTATATATATGTATTTATTCTATTTTTCTGGAAAGTATACAGGTTTTATGGCGAGGGGTTAGAACTTTGTTATGAAATGGTTTTTGAAAAGCTTTGTTTTTGCCCACTCACGCTTTCTGTTTTGTGCCCCTCCAAGTTCTAGTTTGGCTAGCGCTTTTGGTGGTTCCCCAGAGGATTTTCTCGGCTTATCTAACAGATCATTACTAGTGTAGGACCACCTTTGGGTGTGTTTATTTAGTGTTGTTCTCCCGGACTGCACTAGGTCTTTCGTGCTCTGAACTTTGTTTCTCACACTTACGCTTGCACATGTATGTTATTACTTTGTGTATAGCTGGTTTTTATTTATTCGTACTTTTATTATTATTTATTAGCTTTCGCACTGTGCACATGGTTACGTCACTTCCACGTGACGGCCAGCATGCCCAGATCTCGGTCGGGGTGTGTTAGTTCCCACACCCCTTTAGTGCGCTTGCAGCGCGGGGCCAGTCATTTGTTGGTTGTCTGCAACGCGCGCCCACGTGCACGTGTTTCTCAAGTGCCTGACGCAAAAAAAAATATCAAGCCTTCGCTGACGCCAACATGACGTTAGATAGGCCGGTTTCCCACTCAGTCCATTATGGGTCGGCCTAGAGACTGAGGTGGACTTTGGGTTGTCCTATTTTGTAGGGTGGAGTGGGTTTTTTTGGATGCCAGCCTCCAAATGAGAGGTGGCCTTGCTCTTAAGAGAGTTCCTTTAGCATTTTCATATATAATAATTTAAAAATTACATCAAATTCAGTAAACGATGAGATTCTTCAATTAAATTCTTTAATTAAGATTTTAATTAGTAAAGAAATGGTTGGATCGGGTGTTTAAATATCGGATCGAGTGAATACCATCATAGGGATCATCTTAACACAATTTCTCACTTCAATTACCTAAGAGCTTCGTAATCCCACAAAATTCCAACTTGTAATTTATAAAAATTATATAAAATATATATGAGCTAGCAAGCAAGCAAGGGGTATTATGATCATATCTCACTCACTTTTATTACTTGACTTCAAAGACAAGTAAAGTTGCTTCTGCATATCCTAGTTAATACTTTTGTATTATATATTATCCTACATGAAACTAACACATGTATTAATTCTTGGTGATCGTAACGTAGAGCGAAAGCAACTTAAATTGTGATTAAATTAATCCTTAATTACTACAACAAGTAGTGAATTTTAGGGTTTGGTAGTCTAGAGAAAGCTCTTTCTTCACTGTTTGTACGTGGATTTCTTGGATCGTACAAATCTGAGAACGATCGTCAACAATTCAACAAAGAAACTAAATAATAATAATATTATTTGTAAATGAGAGGAAAAACACAGAATAACTCTATGCAGGCATTTCTATCATGATTTATATATTGTATTATATAACTATATATATATATATAATATAATATTATGGAATGGAAACAAGACAACGTAACAGTGTTTAAATCAAATAATGATGAAATATTATAAGGAAAACTAATGAAAATGGTTTGAAAATTTTGAGTTTTAATGATAAAGACAAAATAAAGGGTAAAATGAATAGTACCAGATTTGACTGTTTAGTGTAATAATGTGGTTTTTCGTTAAAGTGAACAGTACCGTGGACTTTTCGTTAAAACTCTCAATATTATAAGACACTTTTGTGTTAAACAAGGTATTCTCTAATTCTTTTTCCGATTAATTGAGATGATCATGACACCATTTTTTGGTGGTGGTGGTGGTTGTGGTATGGAATCATGGAAAACCAAAGTGTTATCAACTGCTTTTTCATTTGTCCTAGCCTCCTATCCGCATCACCTCCTTTCTCTATACAGAAATAAATGAATGCCAAAGGACCACATGCCCCCCAATTTTCCCATTCACTTTCCCTTCGCAAGAAACCAAACCTAAATTGACATAAAAATACTCCAACCATCATTCTCTTTTCTTTTTGCTCAAATTCCAAATCCGATTAAAAAATCCTTCCGCCAACCAGTATTTTTGGGACAAATTTGTTAACCAAAATGGCAGCTGACATACGATAAAGGTAATGAGAGAAACATGTTTGACCTGTCATGGTCGTGTGAGATGAGATTTTCTGGAAATGGAACCTTGATCTCCAAGTAAATCAAACACTTATGGAACATGTAAATTAATGGAGATTTGTGTACAGGAACATGATAATCGGATCCCGGCTGGCCGTGGCCGTTCTCTCTGAATCAGACCAGGACCGGCGTTACAAAACGGGGGTAAGAGGGCAATGATCTGTGCAAGCAGAAAACTTTCAGAATGTAGTATATAATATGCTAAGAGAATCACAATACCATAGGTTTCGTTGATCTAAAAGGAACAAAAAAATTACCAAAAAAAAAATTTAAGGAATAAGGGGTTTGACCTTTTGATGATGATTTTTCGCAGTTCCAGTAAAACCAAACCTATATATGTTCTTCCCCACCCCACAGACAATGCAGTTTAAGATCGTTCTCACCCTGAATGGCAGGGTAGCTTTCTATACATGATTTAGTTGGATTATTTCGGGGCTTATACAAAAGATAAAAGACATCGTACAGCTCGTACCATACGTGCATCCTCTCGGGCTCCTCTTGAAGATTACTTCACTACATCAATCTCCATCGCCTCTTCAGAACAAAATGCTCGTTATGGCCGTACCTCTGTAGACAACTTTTCTTCCAGATCTGTGTGGGAAGGCAGCCAACACTGTAGACCATGGATGAGTGTCACACATCTTGTAACGTTGTATATCACGTACTACTTAGTTCATCATCTGATGGTTGCAAACACTCTTCTGGGTTGGCATAGAAATAGTCCTCCTCTTTAGGTCGGTCTTGGATCATCAACCTATTAGTTGGTTTCCCCATGCGATTTGCATGAGCTCCCTTTACCGCAGATGAAAATTCATCCCAATTCAACAACCCACTAGTGTACCGGTCTATCAAATCAACAAGAAGCCTTCTGTCCAGTAAGATTGTCTTCTTGAACCCAAGAAACCTGAAGAATCATGAACAAACGATGTTTAATTTTAGACGACACTTTTCACCATTAACAAGAAATAAGGGCAGATGATCATGTAACAATAAATCTGAGGAAAATAGCATGAAGCAAATCACGTAAAAAATACATCCCTTCGTCACAAATATCAAGCAATACAAATATATGAACCTGTTGATAAACTAAAACTCCAAAACTGGCAATTGTTTCACAGTAAAAACAAAGTCTGACTGGTGCATAGGTGTGTACACAAATGATCATCTCCTCAAAAGAGACAATTTGGGACGACAAATAACTAGGTGGAGTTTTAAGTTTTAAAACCAACCATCGGAGCCAAACAAATCCACTAGATGCATTGAAAATTTGCCATATAACTTCTGCTATGAACGAATGAAAACTACACTGTAAGCATAAAGTACCTGCGATGGCCTTCAACCACTTTAGCCATGTTTCCATCATATGTGGGAACGAAGATATCACTCTCCAATGAGACAAGATAATCCAATGCTGCCATTTGGGATGAGTGGTTTTGAAAGAACCTAAGGTCTGATGGTTCCAACAGTGTCTCTTTTCTGACCTGTTTGAACAAATGCAAAGGCAACTTGTGAAAACGGAAAACAAAAAAAGTAACACAAATACAAAATAGGTGGCTTCAGCTATCTTCTACTCACCAATTTTGGAAAAGCCTCTCTAAGACTTGCCATTCTCCTCTCTGCGCCATAGATTTCACCAGCTGCGATATAAATCTGAATATCGCGGTCAATGTCAAGGGCACTCAGTGTAAGAGCAGTTTCTTCAGGTGTCAGAGGACACAAACCATCTTTCCTTTTCAGGTCAGAATTTATTATTTTCTCTTTCCACCAGGGATAAGCATATCTGCCAAAAAAATGAAACCATCACAGAGAGAATAATTTTTTTACCGAATTTTATCCATTGAGTGTCAAGCATAAGTTACCTCATTCTTGTCAACTCTTCCACCTCCTCGATGTTACAACCTTGAGTACAACCAGAAAATGCCAACATGTCCATTTCATATCTAAGATGAAGTACAAGGAATGGACCATTTTGCCTTAGAAGCCTGATAACCCTTCTGCCCAACTCCTCTATCTGAGAAGTGAATCTTAGAGCACTGAAATTAACTCGGCAGCGAAGTTTCTGAATCTCCAAAGGTTGTCCGTTATTGGCAAGTCGAGCATCAGTTCTATTCAGATGTACAACTTTGTATTTTTGTATCAGAGGAAGAATCTGTACGAAACAAATTTGAAAGGAGGACTTTATTTCAGTCAATTATGATGGGGTTTATGAATGTTTTAAGAGCTGCACCAGAGAGAGTTCCTGCTAAGTTATAGAGAATATGCGAACAACTAACCTGTTTACGATAATAAGACATATCAGACCAACTAACGGGTGGCATGGTATAAAACATTCCTAGCTCCACTCTCCTCTTTACCCTGGGAGGCAGCTCTTTCAATATGCGAACCTCATCTCTCAAGGATGTGATGAAATGATCCACATCAAATATGTCTTCGAATTCACTGTCATATCAAGAGAAGGTAAGAACTCTCAATATTGGGTGGAAGAAACTACCCTTCCTTTTACAGTTTAAAAGAAATCAGTAACTTGAAAATGTTAGGAAATTATATTGGCATACCTGGAATCAGCCCAAAAGGAGGTTTTGTCGAGTTCAGGGACTATGAGAGTGACGTTCAAATATCTTGCGATAGCAACCATGTCACATATCTGTAAAATCACCACCAAGAGAAAAAAATGAAACCGGTAAGCATGCACTAACTTAATCACCAGGGATGAATTCCTGTTAAAATGCAAAGTCAACTGCTGCTAATCACTCACCGCTGCTCTCATTTGATTGAGTCCCCCATTGCATGATACCATCAGATAACCATTGTTTTTATAAACCCCTGATGGAGAACAAAACAAATTCAGATTACACGCCGACCCAACAAGCATCCAAAACCAAAGAAAAATATAAATGACCAATAGATACAAAGTTAGGACAGCTATTAAAGGGCTACAGACTACTGTAATTAACATTCCATAGGAAAGGAATCGACTTTTCAACCATATCGCAATCAACATAGGAAAATTTACAATTGTAGTTCAAGCTCTATCACCATAATACACCGGTTAACCGCCTGTATAAATCAGTTAACTTTGAACTAGCCAGCTGCTTTCTGAATTACAAGTTTCTACCTTTTAGCATTTCATTTCTTGGAGCCAAAGCAGGTGCCGAGCTATTAACTTTGGTGGGACACAAGAATTCTCCAAGTACTAGTTTGCATTACGCACAACAAATGAGCATTTGGGTTGGTTTTAAAATAAAAATAAAAACCGCAGAACAATCATAAAATTATCATCCAAAACAACCCTACTGCCATTTGGAGTAATTAGCAATTAAATACAAGAATCCACATAAATAAATAAAAACCCCAAATTCCTGGAAAATTGGAAAATAATAACACACTCACTCTTGGGCGGAAGAGCTCTGGCCGGAAGAGAAGGCAACCTGTCTTGCAAGACGGAGGAGGCGGCGGCGGACTCCAGAGAGAAACAAGCAGGCCACCCTTTCAAAACCCTAGGACCCCACATATCCCCCAGAGCCGTTAATTGCACGATGCACGTCCACAACAAAACCGACGAAGTCGCACGGATCATCCACAGCTTCATTTTCGACCTCGACGGCGACGGCGACGACGCCGCCGTGACCAGCATCGAGTTCTTTAACTTTTCCCCTCCTCCTCCGCCGCCTCCCAACACCTTAAATCCCATCACTCCCTTTCTCTCCTTCTTCTCCACCTTGCACATCAATCTCTGTATATTCTCTCTTCCGCCTACAAACATCAACGCAGTGACCCAAAACGGTGCGTCTCGGCAATGCCGGATCCAAAAAAATGGCTTTCCTTTTTTGACCCCCCGCTATTTATAGAAACCAGCAAAGATTCGAGAACCCGATTTCCCCAAAACGGACCCGAAATCCTCACCACATTCCTCAAAGATTTGCTCCAAAACTCTCACGCTCAAAGATTCCCTCCCAAAATGGCATCAAGAACCCTAATTCATTACAGCAAAAAAAAAAAAAAAAATCGAAAGTTTCGATCTTTGCCGCGACACTCGAATTCCAGACCCGGGACAATGGAACCCAAAATGCGAGCTGCAATCCCCTCCCAGATCCACCGTCTAAATTTTCCGGCGAGATCAGTCGCCGGAGCTTTTGCCGCGGGCGGCCGGCGATTTAACAGGCGAGAGAGATTGGGGCGGAGGAGAGAGGGAAGAAGAAGAAGAAGACAGGCAGTGGTGCTGGTGTCATCCCATCATATGATATGGTGCGAGCAATTTTAGAGAGAGAGAGAGAGAGAGAGAGGAACAAAAAACGCGTGACGGGCGTGCGTGACGTGCACCGACGGTTCGAGTGGGCTTTTCCGTGCTTAACACATTTGCTTCAACGACTCAAAGTGCCCAAAGCCTCCAATAAATTCCCGCCAGCCATACGGCGGTCCGGCCGGGCCCCACCCCAACTATGTCCTGCACACGTGTCGCCGATCCGACCCTCCGTTCTTGACACGTCGTGGGCGGGATCGTGGCTCCGTATCAGACGGTGATGGTGGTTACGTTGTCGCCGGTTCGATCGCGCCCATCCAAGACGCCGACAATATATCGCGAGAAGTTGGAAACTCTCGTCTCGCCGGTCCCGCACTCGGAAATAATAATTAAGGCTTAAGCTTTTAATTTTATGATTAGGGGGCTCTAATCACTATGTTGGTTGCAGTTTGTCTGACGTGGGACGGTATTTTTGCGATAAGTACAGTGGCAGCAGCTTTGCACCCTCCGAGTGTCGGTTCGGCCGTGTAAACGGCGACAGGCACGACGTCGTTTTCAGAGGAGACGGCCGGTTGTACGTAGATACCCTGCGAGGGGGGTGTCGGGACACGTGTCGAAACAGACGCATGGGTGAGGGGGACTGTGGGTCCCGATCCTAATCGGAATGCGACGGGGGTGTAAGTACATTGTCAAGTGTACAGTGGAGGGGGATGTAGATGTTTCACGCGCTCTTCAGCTGCGTGGTGTGGGTGTGGGAAGCGTGGCTGGATTCCATTGGGGCGTGTAGTCACGCTCTCACGTTGTTGAGTTGGACTGTTGGTGAAGGGAGATCCACAGGCCGCAGCGGATCTAATTTTCTCCATGCTTTGAGCCTTTCAAGTGATTTGTATTTATTCATTTTAGAAAGCAAATATTTATTTTATTTTTACCAATAAAAGGTTAGTATTATTTTCCTAAAAATAAAAAGTTAATTAATATATGTAAAGTTAATTTCGTTATGCTACTCAGTACTACGGTGTAATGGTATTCTTCCTCACTAGTAACTGAGATATCTTAAGTTTGAATATCGTCAAAGACGAATTTGAACTACATTATTGTTAGCTTATTGTGAGGCTAAGCTCATTCCTTCCCTTTAGTATAAATAATTTCGTTATGGATGCTTTAGCTTCTGCTGGGCAATCGTCTACAGATAATCATGTTTAAAATTTCGTCCTCCTCAAGTGAAGTCAGCATGGTTATTGAACTTCATTCATAGGATCTAATTGCCCTGGAGGCTTTTCTTTGTAATTAAATTATCGTTTAAAAAGAAAGTTAACTCACATTTTAATAAACTGCTAAACAAATTTAAGTTAATTAACAGCTTTTTTTTTTCTTTTGAAGAAAAATGAACAATTATTTTAGTGATAGGAATTGTTTGAGCAATAATATGAAGCTTTGGGGTTGATTTCCTCCGAAAAAAACTTGGCGGTTGATTCGAATTCATTTGTCAAGGCTATATTTGGTTTAATATAATATAATATTGGGAAGTTTTATTGGCATTCAAAAAATCACAATCTACATTCCTCATATGTGTATTTTTATTTCTTAATATAAAAAGTTTGAAGTGTAAAATGATATTTTTTTAATGCTAATAACAAATCCCTATATATTTTATTGTTTCTTATATATTTTTTAATAGTTATTTGCGAATCATTTGACATTAACAAGATGATTTGGTATTTAATTAATCTATTAGTTAATTCCCAATTGGGGTTGGTGTGTGAGGATCTTTCTAAGAGGAAAAGAATTTGTAACATATTAAATTGATAGAATTACATGTGCATAAAATGGGTCAATGGAAATGAAGAAATGCTATATGTGGGGTTGTTTCGAACGAACTTTTTTTTTGTCAAATATAGAGAACATCAATAAAACAAAGTCCTAACCGACATATTACAAAGTAAGTAGTCTTAGAAATGATAGGTATATAAAAAGAAAACGCTATTTATACAAACAAAGCATGAGCAGTGAAGAAAGATCCTCCACATAGACTCAAAAAGTACATAAATGAAATAACATAAGAGGGTTTCAATTTATGAAGAAAGATCATCCACAGAGACTCAAACAGTAAACACCCAAAGGTGGCTGGTAAAGAAAGCTCATCTACATTGAATATATCATAACCTCACATAGTCGATTTCCATCAAAATATACACTCAAAACCATCATGAATCCATGGAATAATGCTCAAAATCTTAATCCATTATTAAATCACTAACCACTCATTTTATGATACGAGTGAAATTTTTACAAAAATGATCCCATACCACTAACCTAAAACTTAAACAAAAACGATCATATACCAATAGATTAAAACTTAAACAGTCGAGATCATTGAATTATTGTGAATAACAGTATCGTATTGATTTACTTATTTGTTAGTGCTCGCTCACACACTACTGTATAAAATGATAAGATCTCAAATTTTGGTAGTTCCTCATACAATCAACCCCTAAAAAAATTACATATCATTAGTCTTTAGATCAATGATGAAGTTGCATAAAAGAAGTGGGATGGGAATTAATGGGTGCTTAGTGTGGTGGTTAAATTTCCTTGTCTAGATAGTAATAGAAAACTACCTTATTGAGCTTACAATTTAACATATATAGGACTTGTTTCGAAGTACTTTCATAATAAGTAAAAACAATTTTGGTGAAAATGCTTTTGGAACCAATTATTAGTTATAAAAAAAAAAAAGCAAAAGTGAATTATGAAAAAGCACTTCAAGTACTTTTGAAAAAAAAAAAAAAAAAACACTATTGAAAACGCTTCTAATCACTTTAAAAGCACTTTAAACGAGACCATATATATTTAGCACTTAGATTTCTAAGGTGGTTGACATGTTCGAGTTCTTCCACCATTTGAGTGGTGGACTCACCATTGCTCCAATTTTATAATGTGGCAAAGTTTTGTGCATTCCTTCACGTCAAGCTTGCAAAGTGCAATGGGACAAGTCCACTTCCAAAATTAGCAAACCAATCTAAAACCTCAATCTATATGACTTTGACATTTTCTTTCACTAATAAAATCATATAGAGATTATTAAATAGGAAATGTAATTTTTCACATTCACAACATGACACATATATATCCAACAATTTAGTTATAAATTTATGTCAGAAATATTATGATATTATATTGTAATACAGTTACGTAGTATTACAAATCCATGTGTTATAATGAGAATGAATGATGATTTTCTATTTTATGGTACATTATAAATAATAAGTTATATCATGTGACAATATTTTTAGCACTACACATATTTTTTTGTGAAACAATGTGACTGCATTATTGTAACCATAAATTTATTTAGCTGAAAAAAGAAATTGTTATAACTCGTGATAACGTTCCAGTATCATACATCAATTTATCAAAATATACCTTTATTCGAAATAAAACCTTAATAGTTAGTAATTCATAATTATATACATCCTCTAATGGAACATGCATTCATCCTAGCTACTTTTTGGATTCATTTACCATTCATGAGTATCAATTAGAGGAGTACTATTCGCATATTCTTTTTTACTTTTTATACTCTGTTGTTAATTTGTGTTCATTAATCTTCTTCAATTTATCTTATCTGATGGTCGAAAATTGAAAAGAATGTGCGAGAGATAAAAAATAAGTGCATGAATAACATCAACCTATTGATTATTTCAAACTAAAAAACATGCATTCAATCTGATCATCTACCAAGGACAAAGTACATTTGCCAATTAATCCACCCAAGAACATTTTTACCTGTTTAGTCATGCTATTTAAACCATTTATTGGTACGTAGGTTTGATAGTACTTAAGATAATAGCCTGTGGGGGACGTATCGGATACGAAATTACTTTCATCCCTAACGTCCTTAATTTCTACTTTGAAATATGACACAGTGACAGACATCCATCCAACCCAATAATATTTTTCTATACATACAGAATAAAACGAACTTTAATTATTGAGTGTATTTTTTATCATCACCGTTTAATAATTATAATATTTATCATCTATTTATTATTATTATTAGATGAGTTTAAAATATAATTATTTAATAATAATAAATAAAATAATGAGCAAAATAATCCCTTAATCATTTGACGAAATTAATATGTATGGTTATTTATTGGTAGAAATTTTAATATTTGGGTCAAAATAATGAATTTCCGAATATTAACAGTTTGATGTTGGATGCATTCCAATCTCTGTCACATCATAGTAAGAAAATAAGGGAAATTTTTAATCAACTAGCTGCCATTGCATTGAACTTTTAATAATTGTCTCGGCCAGAAAATTATTAAAGCAATTAATCCCTTAATATTTATATTTATTAAAGATCAGGCGGTTGATTGGTTGAGTAGGTCATGGACTCATGGGTAAAGAAGTAGGTGAGGTGTATGTATATCATGTCATGCTTCATAGCTTTTTAGAAATTTTTGGAATTGGATGCTCTCAGAGACAATGTCTCGAGATCCTACTGACTGAACAATATGGGCCGTTGGATTTTAATCCAGCGGCTACAATTATTATAACTTTTAGAAAAACTCTCTGTTTGTAGCTGTTCGATCAAAATCCAACGGTCCATGTTGTCCGGTCAGTAGGACCCCGAGGTATTGCCTCAGAGATGATCCAATTCCAAAAATTTTCATTATGCTGGGAACACAGCTCAATACACCACTCGATTAATAAAATAAAAGCCATGCAACTTTAATAGTTAAGGAATGCGTACTTGCTTGATGTAGTGAGAAAGACGTGTGTAAATGCATTTTGATTACATCATTCGCACGATACATTTTACAAAAGTATGAGATTCATTCATATTATCACGCTATCCGATTGGGTGTGAGACTTTACTAAAGTATTTGTTTGATGTATTATGAGAAACACTTGTGTATGATACTCCGATCACATCATTCGTAAGACACTTTTTGTTAATGTACATACGAGACTTCACATACACTATATTTTATTCTTGTTTTACTTCGCTCAATCCAACCGTGTTTCGTAGCTACTACGGAAACTCTATCAAAATTTCTCTCTTGCATGTATTTGCTAACACTTATCACGTCA